GAAGAGCAGGTAGCAACTCTGGTTCTTTTTTTTTTTTTAATGTATATCACACATATCATACATTAAAAACAGGCAGTGCTTTGATCACATGTTGTAGCCACCATCTTGACTTTTTTGGCTCAACTTCATGGACACTCTGGCTCCAAGCAAACTCTTAAGGTGACCTTTCCCCACTTTGGAAATTCTGGAAGGAATTAAAATGCCTCCTTTCTACTATGTTCACCCTTATGCTTATGTTCACCAGGAGGCCGTGAGTTCTAGTTCCACCTTGGGCACAAAGCCAGCTGGGTGACCTTGGCCCGGTCCCTCTCAGCTCTGGGAGAAAGGGGGAGGCAAGGGCAAACCACAGCTGAAAATATTGTCGAGAAAACTACAGAGGCTTCTTCAGGCAGTCACCAAGAATCAACATACATACATACATACACACACACACACACACACACACACACATACATAGAAATGTTCCATTGTGTGAAGGTATATATTCTAACCTTAGAATTGCTACAGAGCAGATCAATTTGTTCTTAAGAGGACAGCTAGAGGGGCTGATTTCCTCAAAGAGTCTAGCTAGAAAGTCAAGAGAGAAAAAGGGGTAAGATAGAAGCTAAGAGATGTGTTGGAATTTTAAAAAAAATGTTGCAGCCCCAAATCATAACAACTGGGTCAAAATAACTTAATTAGAATGGATCATGGGAATAATAAACCAATTGCAATCACAACTATAGTTCTATGAAGTCTGAGTTATTTAACTGATTATCGTTTATGCTTCCTTCCTCCAAAGCAATGAATCGATCAATTAACCTCTTTTAAGTATCAAATGAATAGGTTCTTGGTACAGCAGGTTGGGCTCAGAATACCTGGAATATTAGATTTGAGCCTATTCAGCCTAATCATTAAAGAAAATGGCTTGGTATAGTTCATTGTCCCTGTGCTTCTTGACATCCCGTGGGCAATGACTGTTGTATCTCTAGTCGGTCCTAAATTAAATCCTTGGGAACGGTGATTGAAGTCCCCAAAGTTTGATACACTTCAGAAGATTCTTTTTCATCCTGGAGATGTGAGATTTTCAGCTGCCTGAATGATGCAATAAGTAGCCATCCATTCTTTTAAAACAAAACAATTACTGACTATAACTTGTTCCACATAGCAGAACTTACTGGCCTGTAGGAAGTATTTTATAGTATGGGTGCAGTTAAAAACTGAAGCGCCAGAAGAGAGCCTAAAGATCATGTATGAAAGTAGCAGGTAATAATGGGTTTGGGATTGGAATTGGGTAGTTGTGAAGAATATTTGCACTTCTAAAAACCATCAGACCTGAGTTTAGCTCCATTTTTTTCAGGGCAAACATCATAATACCTGAGTGAAGAACTGAATGCGTGGGTAAGAAAGCCTGTGTAGACATGAGACACAACCTTGATGCTTAGAATTAACAACAGGCACCAGATGGAATAAAAATCAACTGCATTTCCAGAAGGCAGACCTACCTTTTTCATATCAAGATTACAACTTCAAATATAATAATATAAGGGCATCTGTTCAGGTCTGCAATTTTTTCTAAAGAAACGGGTAGAATTTGAAGCCACAATATTTTTCCTAACACTGAAGATCGGGGTTTTTTTTTTACCTGATTGATAGTGGAAGGTACCTCAGCAAAAGTTTCAAAGATGTTCTGACAGCAGATATGTGCACTGTATGTGTGTGTACGACTGCGTATGTGTATTCTTATTTAACTACCCCTGGCTTTGATTTCTTTTTCATCTCAGCCTCCCATGTTTTCCAGCTGTAATTCCAGTGTTTTCTGTTATGTTTTCAGGAGAACTAGCCATGGAAAGAATGAATAGAACTTTGTGGAGTGAATTCATTCTTCTTGGGCTTCTGAATCACACAGTGATCCATACAGTTTTCTTTGGGGCTATTCTACTTACTTTTTTTGTAGCTTTACTTGGAAACTGTCTTTTCCTTTTTGTAATCATCACAGGTTCATATTTCAGGACCCCTATGTACTTTTTCCTCAGCCAGCTCTCCTTCATAGACATCTGCCAAACTTCCACCATTGTTCCCAAAATGTCCATGGATTTTTGGAACAAGGACAACACAATTTCATTGGCTGGATGTGGCACTCAGGTTTTTTTCACCATCATGATGGGAGGAGCAGAGTGCCTCCTACTGACCGTCATGTCTTATGACAGGTATGTGGCTATCTGCAAACCTTTGCACTATCCAGTTCTCATGAGCAGGAGGGTGTGTGTGGCTATGTCTGCTGGAGTCTGGTTTGGGGCTTTTTTTCACTCACTCATGCACACCCTTTGTGTGCTCCAGCTGCCCTTCTGTGAGTCTAATAGAATAAATCAGTTCTTCTGCACAATCCAAGCTATGCTGAAATTATCTTGTTCTGAAACATCCACCTATGAAAATTGGTTGTTCCTGGTTGGCAGTATATTACTCTTGGCTCCCCTGTCCATCATCTTGGCTTCCTACATCTCTATCCTTTTGACAGTCCTGGGAATGCAATCAGTGGAAGGAAGACATAAGGCATTTAGCACATGCCTCTCCCACCTTGGTGTGGTGGGGGTCTTCTATGGAGCAGCAAGCTTTAAATATATGAGACCCAGATCTTACCGAACACCACAGCAGGATAAGGTGGCCTCTGTGCTTTCTGACATTGTGACTCCCATGCTGAATCCCTTGATATACAGTTTGAGGAACCATGATGTGCTAGCAGAACTGAGAAAATACATTCGGAAACCTATGTTGAATATCTAACCCAACCTAACTAGGGCCACATCAGAGCCAATCTGTGTGATTATTTGGTAGGGAAGAAAAACAAGGAGAAAAATATTATGTAGTAGTCATGAGTACTAACCACTAACAGTCTAATCCTCTGTGAAATCATCTAAGCTCTTTCTAAAGCTGTTCAGCTTGGTGGCTATTCTTCCATCTTGTGATAGCGGAGTTGATACTGAAATTATAAGCTAAACTATATGAAGTTGTGCTTCCTTTTATTTTTCTTGTATTATTAAGTTCATGTTATAAAACTGGGAGAAAAATGTCTCCATGCAATACATAATTTAACACTTCACTAGCACATTTTCAGTTACTTTGAAGTGAGTAATGGAAGAAGTCAATTTTATGCTGTGGTGGAAAAGAAGGCTACCCTTCTGAGAAGGAAGGAAGGAAGGAAGGAAG